GGTAAAAGCGATTTTGCGAGATATTTGCGCAACGAGGAATTTGTTCTGAGGCTCACGTATTTGGCTGATATTTTTTCAAAACTAAACGAACTGAATTTGTACTTGCAAGGAGCAGAAGGTATCAGTATATTCGCAGTTCATGAGAAAATTCGAGGTTTCATGAAAAAACTTGTTCTATGGAAAAACTGTATTGACAACCGAAATTATGACTGTTTTGAAACATTTCAAACCTTTGTAATGGAGAATGAAGCAAAAGTTGATGACGATATAATCGTTGAGATATCTGAACATTTGAATAAGCTGAAAGAGAGTTTTGAGTTTTATTTCCTTGAAGAAATGAAAAATATCCAAGAGAAAAAATGGATTATGAACCCCTTTCAGTCTGACATAACGAGTGGGATATCGACAAAAGCTGAGGAAGAACTTTTTGATTTATCTGAGGACGCTTCGTTAAAAATGAACTTTAACAGCAGAAAACTGATACAGTTCTGGGTGTCTGTTCGAAAACCGTACCCAATCCTTTCCACTGAAGCTTTGAAGGTACTTCTCCCCTTCTCATCTTCATATCATTGTGAAGTTGGATTTTCAGCAATGGTAGGAATCAAAAACAAATTCCGAAATAAACTTCAATTGTCAAATTCCTTACGCCTGAAACTAACCCACATTGATGTTGATGTCAATGCCATTCTTGACAGTAACAAGAAACAAGCACATCCTTCACACACGCCTCATTATTAATTAATTAGATAGCATTTATAAGTTCTGGAAATGTTATTGAAAATACGCGAGTATTTTTAAATGTAATTGAAATACGTGAATATGAATAAATAATATTTTTTTTATTCTTTCATATGTTTTTGCCCAGTAAATTTGAGTGGGTCACCATAAGCTGTGGTCATGAATAGTGGGTCGCGATTCTAAAAAGTTAGGGAACCCCTGCCTTACAGCATGCGTTGAAAGCAAGTTTTGATGATGCGCTACCGCCATCTAGTAAGATTAAATATAAATTGCTCATTCTCTGATAACGATAACGCAGACATACCGTT